AAAACAGCCAAGCTCAGAGAACCCCAAGGACTCCACAGTTCAGCCCTGAGCTACACATATTCGCTTCCATTGGTACCATAAGGAGTGTAGAAGAATGGAGGGAAGGATGAGTTGTCACCACTGCTGCTATTACTACCTTTTCCACGGCTGCTTTTGAAGCATCCATAGCAGCAGCAACAGCATACGCTGGAAGCAGAGCCCACAGGGAGAGAATAGAAAAAATCCTGACAACTGATAGATGGCAGCAAAGGAATCCAGAAAAATCTTGTTCCTTTTTGGCTGGCCACTAGTGTTAAAATCTCATTTGCCACCACGTGTGTATGGGTTACCAAAGATCCATAAAGAACCTGTTCCATTATGTCTGATCTTGACTTCCATTGGTTCTCCTACGTATCATATTGCCAAACAGCTAACTGTGCTTTTATAACCTTACATTGGACCTATGTCAACATATATTAAGGATTCAACCCACTTCGCTGAGAAACTTAACAAGCTCAGTCTTAGACGGATGATAGATTGATTGGTTTTGATGTGGTTTCCCTTTTTACCAAAGTGCTGATTAAGGAGACTTGTTATACATTAAATAAACCTTTTTCAAATTTCCATAATTGCCTCACTACCAGTTATTTCCAGTGGAGCAAGAAATTCTATGAGCAAATTGAAGGGATTGCCATGGGCAATTTCAACCAATTTCTACATGGAGAAATGTCAATAATGGGCAGTAGACACTGTGCCTTTAAAACTATCCACTTGGATTTAGTATTTGGATGACACGTTTGTGATCTGGAGTTATGATGAGGAAGAGCTCAGGAAATTTCTAGATCATCTGAATAATGTCCACCCAAATATTCCATTTACAATGGAAGAAGAAGAGGATGGCCAGGTAGCATTTTTCAATGTTTTAATCATTAAAGGAAAATATCAACAACTAGGACATATAGTATACCGTACTGAAAAACAATACATACAGATCACTATTTAGATAAGAATTCTAACCCTAACCCTCATCAGAAGAGAAGTATCATTAGAACTCTCACTGAGTATGCTAGACATATTTGTGAGCCAGAAAGATTATCCAATGAATTGAGATATCCTGAGAGCCTTTAAGGGCTAAAGGTTATTTTGCTGGTGAGATCAGACAAGTGATGCAATCCAACAGTAAAAATAACATCATATAAACAGCTAAGGACAAACCACCCTCTGTAGGAAAGGTGTTTCTCCCTTATATTGAGAAGGTCACAGACCAAATTGGAAAATTATTTCATATAAACAGCTAAGGACAAACCACCCTCTGTAGGAAAGGTGTTTCTCCCTTATATTGAGAAGGTCACAGACCAAATTGGAAAATTATTGGAGAAAACAACTTAAAAGCTATCTACAAACCAACAAGAAAAAATCAATAAATGATTTGATCACCGAAGAATAGCAGAAGTCCACTTTTATCAGCAGGAGTTTATCACCTGCCTTGCAGCTGCAGACATGTATATATTGGAACTACAAAACATAGTATTAACACTTGACTAAAAGAACATGAAAGATATCGCTGGCTAGGACAACTTGAAAAATCAGCAGTAGATGAAAGCGTGCTACTACATAATGGGTATAAGATTCAATTGAAATCACACAAGTACTAGCAATCATGTCAAAGCATCATGCACAACTGCATAGCGCAACTATTGAGATTTATAAACATCCCAACAACTTTAAAAAGCCCAGAGTCACTTTTTAATGAGATGGGCGGTGACAAATTTTATATATAAAAATTCCCTTCTCACCCCTATGGGTGGTATGTGTCTTCCTCAATCTCGGGTACTCTGCCAGAGACCTGGGAGTTTGAGGGTTCTGCGCAGTATCTTAGCTGTCCCTAGCACTGCACTCTTCTGGACAGAGAGCTCTGATGTTGTTCCTGGGATCTGTTGGAGC